TAAATTCAGTTTTTTTACAGATCTTTGTAGTTAATGTAAAATGAATGACTATAATGAAAGATATAAAACAAGGTGAAAGCTGAAAGGTATGTCATGAAGCCTTTATTAGATTGAGTTTGTAAATCCCAGAAATGAGTGGAAAATGCAAATCAACCCCAATTAAAACCAAAAATTCGGCGCGCTTCGCGCGCCAAATTAAAATTTTTTCCCCCCCCCTACAGAATCCTTATGTCCGCCCCTGTTGCTATAATTCCTTTATAATCTATATATGGACTTGTGGCCCCAGTACCCGCGGACCGCCTGTCTTAGCTCGGCCCCCTAGCCGCAGTGCAGCTCGAACCCCAGAAATTGTCTTTTAACCTATCCTAACCTTCAAATTATACAATAATAAACAGCTGGCGTAAGTCCAATATGGCAGTAGGTTGGAAAGTTAGTAGGTCACAAGTTCAGTAGGGGCCGGGGATGGTGGTGTATTTTTCGACCTACGCATATCCTCTATATTACACTTATGACCTACTTGCACGTGGTTTTCCAGCTGCTTTTTAGCTGCTGTAGGTCTGTTAAACTATAGGTCAGTTGCACCTTAATTTAAAAAACTTTTGTTTGATCCGACCTATACGGATGTACAATTATTTGTAGGTCGGATAGTCATCAATTGTAGGTCGGATTTACACTTAAGTAGGTCGGATACATATGCATTTGTAGGTCGGATGGTCATCAATTGTAGGTCGGATTTACACTTTAGTAGGTCGGATATATGCATTTGTAGGTCGGATGCACACATTTGTAGGTCGGATGGTCATCGGTTCTAGGTCGGATTTACACTTTTGTAGGTCGGATATATGCATTTGTAGGTCGGATGGTCATCAATTGTAGGTCGGATTTACACTTTTGTAGGTCGGATATATGCATTTGTAGGTCGGATGGTCATCCATTGTAGGTCGGATTTACACTTTTGTAGGTCGGATATATGCATTTGTAGGAGGGATGTACACTTTTGTAGGTCGGATGGTCATCGATTGTAGGTCGGATTTACATATTTGTAGGTCGGATGTACACATTTGTAGGTCGGATGTTTATCGATTATAACCGACCTACAGCTGTCGTAGGTCGGATATAGCAATAGGTCAGAAAGTTAGTAGGTCGGAAGTTCAGTATAGAGGATGTTGCGTTTAGACGATTGTAACATTACCAAAAATACACCATCAAAATGTCGTCTTACCTAAAAAAATCTACGATGCGGCATTATTTCAAACATGCGCATTAGCGATTTAGTGTTGTTTGTCTGCTTTTTTATAATTTTTGTTTGCAAAGTTTGCACAAAGTATATTTTCACAATACCATGTCATTTTTAAGGTTTGAAATTATTTTCTAAAGTCTTAATGAATTTCAGACTATGTTCGGGTTGTACTCTATTTGAATTGCAGTGCAGCAGGATCCTCTTAAGGAAAGAAAATGAGAATAAAATTTACAAATATAGGAAATCCACTTCGTGTAGATTATCCTGTTTTGATTGTTAAGGTAAACAAAAGTCCCNCGTCCATATTCTGTAACCAATTTTCCAACCCATCTTACGAAGAAAGTGACTGCAAAACATGGGATTTATCAAATTAGAAAAAGAATATTTTTTTTCGAAGGGATAAAGAAGTTCTTTAACAATAATTTTTTGGTCTAGAAATCAATTTTTTTTATCGCGAAATCCATCTTTAATTTATGATAAAACAGGGATGAATAATAGTTCTTATAGGGGGGGGGGGTAGAATTAGTTTTGGTTCCTTGATAAGGTTAATAAACACTAACCAGGTCCTCCCGAGATTTTTTTTTAAATTAAAGGAGGAAAACATGACATTGCAATTGAGGGAAAAAAATATGATATTTTCCCTTTAAAAGGTTATGCATATTTTCCTTTGTGAACGAAACTAGCAGATAAACAAAAATTCGCTCTTTTTCGGGGTCCGTCCTAGTGAACGATTTTTGGATCCCCCCGGCCCCCCCCCCTTCTATCACTTTTGTACATGACCAAATTAGTATTATATAGGTTAGGTTAAGACAATTTCTAGGCCGAGCGCTACGGCTAGGACAGGCTAGGGGGCCGAGCGCTGCGGCCACATGGTCAATTATATCCATGTCTAACATATAAGAACCATGTACAAAATTGAATGGAGGGGGGGGGGGAGGGGGTCCAAAAATCGTTCTCAAGGAATATACACTTTTTTCCTTTTTAATACCGCCCTGTGAAAAAGTCTGAATTTACTAACATATATTTTTTTTCAGGGAATCATCGAAAACTTTTCACAGGTACTACTTTTGGACTTTTTCCTTTTTACAATTAAATTAAAAGTAATTTTGCTGTTGAACGAATTCAAAATAAAATATTGAAATGTTTTTTATATTCAGGACGTCTGGAAACGTTTTGGTGAGAAGAGTTTTATGCTCATGTGTCACCAGGTAAGTTTCTTGTCAATATCTATATTTCATCTTTGGATTCGATGGATTCTATTTCTTCTTGAATTCAATTTTTTTCAGCTTTTTCTTAAGTATTTATTTTTGATATTTAAATTGTTCAATTTTTTTTCTAATTTTCTATTTAAGAGAGAAACAGACTACAAACGCTGTGAAGAAATACCACTTAAAAAACTTGAATTCAAATTTTTAGGAAAAACTTCATTCAAATTTTAAGATAACTAGACTTTTCCCGCCCATCCCTCTATCCTCTGTCTGTGCATTGGCTTTTTGTACAATTTAAAACAAAAAGAAAAAAGTGGCTTTCTAAATATTTTTTTGCGCAATTAAAAAATTTCGCAATAATTTAAAAGCTTGTGGTTATTTTTTTGTAAGTCTGAGCATTCATAAACCTGCCCTTGGGTTGCGTCATAGCGGCTGCATTCTTGGAGGTCCCACACAAAGTTTGGATCCGATCGGTTCAGCCGTTTTGACGTTTATGGGATTCAGACAGACAGACCAGCAAAGCATATATATAATTGATTGTATTTTCCTTAAAGCTTGTCCCCTTAGAACTAACAACTTTAATTCTTTGTCTAACAAAATAAAGTCCGCTTTTTCTCAAAATGTCAATTTTGAAATTCTTCTACATTTTTATTTTCTTTGGCAGATGTTAGGCATATTTGCACAAAGCGGCAAACATTTTTTTATAGGTTTATTCGCTGAATGGGAGAAAATTATAAGGTTTAGGGGATAATAAAAAAAATGTATGTATACTTCATTTTTTCTCCAGAGCATTTAATTNGGTCTAGTACGGTCTAGGAGTCCCAGCTCAAGGTTCGCTTTAAAATCCTTCGTTTTTATAAATTTTGCTAAATTCCGTTAAACAGTTACTTGATTGATGTTTAAACTCCAGTTCATCTTCTGCCTGGCTCCAATCTCATCTCCCTCGACTTCCTCGGGGTCAAGGATACTCTTAATGTACTGTTTGACCACAAGCCTGTAGATTACAAAGTACGTTTAGTGTACGTGGTTTGCCAGGATTCTGATGGCGAGTTCCAAGGTAAACTTGAAAGGGACCGTTAACGTAATTTCAGGTGACCCTCCATTATAGGATGGGACATGTACAATTCACATCGCGGTATCTCTTCAGATTCAATATCAAATGGTTATTTTCAAATGCGAGTTCTCTATAAAAGTGAAATGCGAATTTTTTTTAGATAAAATTTACCGAAAACTGTGAGAATTTAGCACTTTTCAAGATAGCAAAACAATGATATCTTCCACAATATTTACTATTGTGAATCTAGCACATATATTCACGTTAAATAACTTTCTTTATGTGTAGGTCCAGAGGGGGAGGATTGTTCTATTGAATCTGCTAAAGCTAGGTAGAATAATTTATCCTACAGTGTAAACTATAATGAACATAAGGAAATGGAATCTGTAGGAGACCCCCCAGACCGCCGCGAATTATGGGACCTTTAATCCCGCCAAGCTTTACCCAGCCGGGGGGTATCCATACAACTGATGAATAGGAAAACGCACTTTAGCAACAGTATGCATGGCAGTGTTTAGGATTCGTTTACGGAACTCTATAAACTCACCGTTTAAGTGTCTTTTAATGAGATATTTTTAAAAACTTTTCAGCCATTGGATGGGAATAAGACAAGCAAGTTTCTCCATGAAAATTGCCAAAAATACCAAAGAAAGGTTTGAAAACCAGTTTTTATTAAATCAAATTAGCAAAATTTAAATAGATATTTAAAAAATGTTTCCGGATCTGGATTTGGATAAATTGAGAGATGAAACCCAAGCACTGAAATGTATATTTGATCATAAATCAAATAGATTTCCTGTACACTGCACAGCTGTTGTCCTGTTGTTCATTGAACTATTTCAAGTCAAAACTTGGTCTATTTCTCAGTTTTATGGGTCGATCCATACTGTTCGTTTTACAATATGATATAATTTCTTTAATACGTATCTAACAACCTTGTGTTTGTATTTGAGTCAATAGATTTACATAATCTTGCTTTGTTCATTGTTGTTTGAATTTAAGAAAAAATAACGCACATGATTATGAACAAAAATATGTAAAAATATCGACAGTAAAACATACGGCCCTGTATTTTAATTTGACTCAAAAGTATTGCACAGAAAGATTTGAAATACTTTAATTTAACATTTTGAAATCAATTATTTGCCTGTTTAGAATTTGTTTGGGGGCTAAGCTTCTTCAATGCATAACGGCAGAGACTTTATGGGAGGCAGGTGTAGGGCGGAAAACGTTCCGCTTGGAGACAAATGCCGAGGGTGGGGTTGAATGTCACACTCTCCGTGTTAATCTTAGGTACTTTATGGACTCGAAACCAAAATTTGTATTAGTGGAAGAAAGGGGTTTCATTCAAAATTGTTTGGGTATTCATGTTTTGGAAATATGGAAGAACAGGTATTGAATAACAATATGCAACTAAATTATGAAATTATAACATTCTCCTTCATTTAGAATTGTCCATTGAATTACAATTAGAAAATGAAACCAAAGTCATAAGCCAAAATAGTAAGCACCACAGGCCTTCGACTTTTACTCGACTATTTTCAAATTTTATTGGAACATATTTTCGTTGTAAAATCATTTTTTTAGTGGAAAAAATCAAGAAAAAAGTGAAATCGTCAGAAAGGCGTAGTATAATTTTCATGGACAAGTTGTATGGATACGCTTTAAAAAATCATTTTCAATTCAGATCCTCATTCCTCATATATGCAAACAGAGGATACAGAGCACAGAAAAAAGAATACCATGAGCTTGATGATTATTTGTAAAAAGTTATTTAATAAAAATAAGTTTAGTACTACTGAGTGCTGGAAGATGACAGGGGAGAAACTGTGGGAGAATATCGGCCGGGAGATAATGCTTTCTAATATCAGGGATGAAAAGGTAAATTAAACATATTAATTAATTTATTTCACACTTTTCTTCTCTACAGCTACCGTTTCCACCTCCTTCCATTTTGTCTTCATTTCCTTTTAAAAAATAGATATTGTAAAGGCTAAAAATAACGTTTAATTTCTTCTCCCAAAATTCTTATATTTTTCCTCTATTTTTCATTTGTTTTCTCCTAAACATAAGATATTTAGAATAATTTGCAATGTTATTCAATTCTGTAAACTGATTTAAGCTCAAGGTTATTATATTTTGATAACACATATCAATATGATTTTGTTTCATGAATACTTTTGCTGTACAGTAAAGTTTTGTATACGTACTGCACACACTTGTTGCTTAGATTAAATATATCAAATTTATATTAAGTACACGGTACCATTTCATGAAAGCTTTTGCTGTACAGTAATGTTTTGTACAAGTCCTGTACAAAGTTTACGGAACAACTATATGAAAACTTTTGCTGTATAGATATGTTCTTTTACAATTGTACTGTACAAACTTCTTGTTTAGATCAAATATATCGGATTTGTATTTGCACGGTACAATTTCATGAATACTTTTGCTGTACAGTAATGTTTTGTATAAGTCTTGTACACACTTTGTTTAGATTAAATATATCTGATTACTATCAAGTACACTGTACAATTATATGAATACTTTTTTTGTACAGTAATGTTTTGTACAGTTTGTACAAGCTCGTTGTTTAGATCAAATATATCGGATTTCTATCAAGTACACGGTACATAAACCCTGCAGGTGTACCACCCACCTCCTACACTCAAGTTCTTAATATGACCAAGGTTTGTAATTTTAAAACTAAAAATGACACAAAAATTATTGAAAATGATATAAAAAAATGTTAAAATAGAGTTTTACAGATATTTCTCAAATACTTTAAAATTTTCCTCATTTCCTTACCTCTTTAAAAAAAAACACTAAAAATTTGTTTCGCTTGGCGCACACTTGAGCAAAATACGGGTAAAAAGATTAATATCTTCTGGGACAACATACAACTTAGACTGAAAAAGATCAATTTAATTTCAAACAAATCATTCAGATATTACAACCTATAGTCATCGATTATCTTTCGCCACATTTGTATATATTTGATATTTCATACTAGTTTTGATTTTGTTTTTTAAAATAATATTTAGCTTACAACTTGTTTTCGAACATTCCTGGAAAATATGAAAATGTCGTGTTCATTACCAAAAATCTTGAAACAGGAATAAATGTAACTCTCAGATCATAACAATTAAAACATATTATGAAAAATCAACTATATATAAATGTGGCGAAAGATAATCGATGACTATAGGTTGTAATATCTGAATGATTTGTTTGAAATTAAATTGATCTTTTTACGGTCTAAGCCGTATGTTGCAATTTTCTCAATTTGTATGGGCGCTACGTTCTTCGGTATGAGACGTCTTTAACAATTTTCTCCTTATAGACGCAACAGATAGAATTAAGATTATTAGCGATCAAAAGCGCTTTTTTATTGCATTAAGCCTATACCCCCTTTCATTTTTTGCGAACACTCCCTTTAATGTTAAGAAAAATTCTAGAGTTGGTTTTAGAGGGAATCCTCAATCTAGAACTTGTTTGTATAGACCTCGACAGCCGTGTGTATTTCGAATATTTTTATATAACATGTAGATTTAAAAAAAAAATATGAACTTATTAATAATCACAGAAAAATCCGCAAAATTTTAAAGAACAAATGGGCGTTTGAAAAGAAACATTCAAACGCACAAATTGTTGGTGGAAAACCTAGTTACCTAAAAAATCCGAATAAAATCATTTCATCATCAGTTGTATTTATTTTGTTAATGAAGGTTTGAGAGTACAGAAAGGATTGATGGCCGTTTACTAATGGATGATTCAGCCTACAGAGGAACCATAGGAGGTTGCTTTGCAACAACACTAGGTATAAAACTCAATAATTCTGTACATTCTACCTTTTTTTGGTTGGAGTTTTGAGGAATTTTTTCTTCTGAGTAGAACAAAAAGTACACAGCATTCAAAGATCTATTTACATTTTTTTATTTAGCCAATCACCACTAAACAAAAGACACATTTTATACACTAAAACTCCCAAAACTTTGGCATAGGAAGACAATATTTAAAGGGAGTGTTCGCGAAAAATGAAAGGGGGTATAGGCTTAATGCGATAAAAAAGCGCTTTTGATCGCTACAAATCTTACTTCTATCTGTTGCGTCTATAAGGAGAAAATTGTTAATAAACGACTCATACCGAAGAACGTATTGTCCATACAAATTCAGAAAGATGCAACATACGACTTAGACCGTAAAAAAATCTATTAAATTTCAAACAAATCATTCAGATATTACAACCTATGGTCATCGATTATCTTTCGCCACATTTGTATATAGTTGATTTTTCATAATATGTTTTGATTTTATTTTTTAAAATATTTAGCTTGCAACTTGTTTTCGAACATTCCTGGAAAATATGAAAATGTCGTCTTCATTACCAAAAATCTTCAAAACAGGAATAAATGTTTTTAAAAGTAACTCTCAGATCATATTAAAACATATTATGAAAAATCAACTATATACAAATGTGGCGAAAGATAATCGATGACTATAGGTTGCAATATCTGAATAATTTGTTCGAGATTAAATTGATTTTTTTACAGTCTTAGTCGTATGTTGCATCTTTCTGAATTTGTATCAACACTACGTTCTTCGGTATTAGTCGTTTTTAACAATTTTCTCCTTAAAGACCGGCAGTTTATGGTAGTTGAACTAAAAAGGTAGTACTGGGGAGAAATTTTTTAGGATTCATTTGAGACATTTAAAACTTTTACTGATGTATAATTACTGAGCTTGAGCGCAAAGTCGACGTTCAAAATCATCCATTTTGGTGGTTACTTTTTAAGAATCGATTTTTAAAAATTATTAAATAGCGACGACAAAAAATGTAAATAAAATTCTTCAGTAAACTTTTTAGATGTTAATGAACATTGAACATATTTCTCAAATATTTAGTCTTTTTCATAAAAAATCCAGGGAATCTACAGAAAGTGTTGGGAACAATCAGACATTACTGAAACCAGTAACTTAATAAGATTACTTGTTTTCCTCGATAATACCTAATTTTTAATTTCTCAACAACTAATTAGTTTGAAAATTTTTTACATTTATCGCCTCTCAAAAGTCAATCATCCATCTAAAATAAACAATCTATGAGCGCTCTTGCTGAACAAATAGGTCTCAAATGATTCCTAAACAATTTCTCCACAATACTGCATTCTCAGTTCAACTACCATACATTGCCGGCCATTCCCTTTAATGTTCATCAGGCTATTTGAAATTAAAACTTGAATTGTCCAAATCCACAGTTTTATTATTCCTACTGTACACCTGAAATTTTGTACATTAAGATCTTATCTCCATGAATTTAAAATTGTGTACACTAGGATATGAATTGCATTAACTCGCTTAAAATTGTACACTAGGAATTGTACTGCAAGAACTCATAAAATTATGTACACTAGGAAGTGTACTGCAAGAACTCATAAAATTATGTTCACTAGGAAGTGTACTGCAAGAACTCATAAAATTGTGTACACTAGGAAGTGTACTGCAAGAACTCATAAAATTATGTACACTAGGAAGTGTACTGCAAGAACTCGTAAAATTATGTACACTTGGAAGTGTACTAAAAGAACTCGTAAAATTGTGTACACGAGGAAGTGTACTGAAAGAACTCATAAAATTGTGTACACTAGGATCTGTACTGCATGAACTCGGTCATTGTTTTGACCTGGGACACACAGAAGAAGGAATTATGGGGCGAGGATTTGATGATTTAGATTTATTTTTCACATTAACAGGTCCTTTTATTCTTCACATTAACAGGTCCTTTTATTCTTCACATTAACAGGTCCTTTTATTCTTCACATTAACAGGTCCTTTTATTCTTCACATTAACAGGTCCTTTTATTCTTCACATTAACAGGTCCTTTTATTCTTCACATTAACAGGTCCTTTTATTTTTTATTTTACTTAAATTTTATAAAAGTATTTGTCTTCGTAGTGCTTAGGATCTTGATTCGTTGGATCCGCAACATTTTAGCTTTTTGGATCCGGAAAAAAAGAAATGTACATGACCTGGATCCGGATCCATTTTTTTCTAGTTCGAATCCAGGATCCGGATCCGGATCAGCATCAAAGTAATTGTATCTTAAGCACTGGTCTTACTTGTAAATTATTTTGGAGAATTGTGATTTTGAATGTGAAAAAAAAACTTCAAAAACTTTGTGGTAATTGTTTTATAAATTAAATCTTTCTCATCCAATATTTGAATTTTGAATAAGAAACTATTTGATTTCTCGATCTCTAATTCGCAAATCATTTTTTAAATTTTTAAAAATTTTTTATTTTCTTTGAAATTTTGTTTAGAGGCTAAAGGACGAATGAAACCTCGTCTTAATCCCTGTTCTTCATATCAGAATCAGGAGATTAATCTTAATCCTCTCAGTCCCAGCTCTACCTCTGCTCCTGGGGACTTCAGTCCCAGGTAATCTATCAATCAAATAATGTCAATCAATCAATTGGTCCGTAAAAATCAATCAATCAGCTCCTATCGATTAATTTATCCCTGCCAATCAATTAATCAATAAATAATTAAAAATATATTAATCATTCAATGTGAATCAATTAGTTATTAAAAAATCATTTAATTAGTACCAATCATTCATTAATAAACTGATAAATCGGTGTCAATCAATTCATAAATCAGTGCCAACTAACTGTTTAATCAATGCCAATCAATAAATAGTCTGTTTTAATCAATCAAGCTTCTTGTGTCATTACGACTCATTAAGATCAACACATAAAACAATAATCTTTAATCAGTCATTAATCTCAAAATCCAAGGATATGATTACGCTATGATGGATAGAAGCTTACGCGTCAACCAGAACTACATTAAATGACGAGTTCACTTTTAATAGTCAATAACTGAAGTATCCGGAGTTGCCCGTGGATTTTTTTTAATTAAAAACTTTGAAAAAAAATTTCGACCTTGAAAAAAATCTTTTTTAGCCTATTTTACCCCCGGGATACCCATTGGTTCACTAAAAAAATGTCAGCCAATTTGGTCTAGCTGTTTGGCAAGCTATAGATAACATTTTATTATACATAAATGAGCGTAGAGCTTTATATAGATAGAAAAACAATAATAATGCTTAGGTTTACGAGTGTACGAAGATCAGATTCTATCTCTAAATATCTTGAAGAGTATACACAGAAGAGAATCAGGTATTTCGTCTATACTTATAGTTTGAGGGGTTGGTTTTAGGAATTCAGGGGGATGAGGGGGTTGGGGGGTGGCTACTGGAGAGACTTTTTTTTTCCTGAAGAAAAAACTTTTGAATTGTGAATCTTGGGAAGATTAACTTTATTCCTCTTCGATATCCTGAGATAGTCTTGTTCAAGGGATAAAGTATTGATCCTCAATTTAAAAGTGACCAAATTGAATATTGAGATTTAATGTCCAAGATTAACAAAATTTCAACCCCAAAGTTCTGGTCTTAGGGACCGAATTTAATGCTTTTATCTCTCTAAACTACATAATGCCGGTTCAAATTTGTACCATCGACTCAAAGTTACAATTTAAGGAAGGATTTGAGTTGGTGATTCAAATTTAAACCGGTGGTAGGCAGTTCAAATTTATAAAATTCGGTCCTTGATTATTTCTAATAAAAATATATTTTAGAAGTATGAAAAATCAGACCGCCTCAGGTTGCTTTTGGACAAGGTAAGCTCCTTAAATATTATCATAACTTCCAAAAATGCGTTGTAATCTCACCTTTTAAATTCAAATCCAATTTCTAGACTAATTCAATCTTCTTTTTGCCCATTTAAATTTAATTTCAGATTAATTAAATCTGTTGTTAATTCAATTAGATGTAATCTTCCAATCTTTATAGGACAATTAAAAAATATTAAAAATGCTTTAATTTTCTAATCTGTTTAGAATAGATGTAATTTAGTCCAATTTATTTTTATCTGGACTAATCCAATCTCTTTTAATCTAACCCAATCTTATTAAGACTACTCCAAGTTTTTTTTATTCAATGCTAACTTATTTTAACTACTTTGAAATTAAATTAAAAGAAATCTCATTAAGACTTATCTAATTTAAAGGGATAGACTGGCTATGTAAGGTAGTTACACTGAGTATTTAGTGTTGTGGACAAATTCTATAGAATTAATTAGAGACAGATAAAACGTTTCCACGATGTATAATTACTGAGTTTGAGCGCAAAGTCGACGTTCAATATCATGAATTTTGGTTTTCAGAATCGGTTTTTTATTAATTATTAAATAACGACGACGAAAAACATATTAAAAATTCTACAGTAAACTAATTAGATGTTTAGGAACATATTTCTCAAGAGAAAATAAATCAAAGTTAGAATTTATTATTTCCTTTTCATCATTATATTGAGTTTCTTATTTTCTATGAATTTGATCGCAGATTTCTTCAAATTCTTCAGATGTCGTCTTTTTAATAATAATTCCAGAATATCTGCAGGAAAACTTTGTGATTAAAGAGAGATTATAGAAACTAATGATTTAATAACTTGACTCTTGTCTGGCCCTTCACACTTTGTTTCATTGAAACTGTGCTAGTGACGCCTTCCGACCAACCATTTTAGTGGTGCGGTTAGATGAGAGCTTAACCCTGACTCCCAAGGGATGATGGTTGACCATTTTATTTATTTATTTATTGAATTTCTTAATTTCTATGAATTTGTTCGCAAAGTTCTTTAAATTCTTCAAATGTCGTCTTTTTCATAAAAATTCCAAAAAATCTGCAGAAAATCTGTGTGATTAAAGAGAGATTATAGAAACTAACAATTAAATAAGATTACTTATTTTCAATGATAAGATTTAATTTCTATTTTCTCAACCTGTTCCTAAACAACTAATTAGTTTACTGTAGAATTTTGTTTACATTTTTTGTCGTCGTTATTCAATAACTAAGAAAAAACAATTCTGAAAACGTATCCACCCAAAAAGTACGATTTTTAAAGTCGACTTTGTGCAAAAAAAAAAAACTCAGAAATTATACATCGTGGAAAAGTTTTATATGTCTCAAATGAATCCTGAAGATATTATTCACAACACTGCCTTCTCAGTTTAACTATTTTACATACTACATAGCCCTTTAAGCCGCACTACATTTAATACAATCCCTTATTCCTAAATAAATGTATTCTGATCTCCTTTAGTTCGTCTTCTGTTATTTTATCCCGACAAAAATGGATGAACTCCACCCCGTGCTCAAATATTAAGGTAAAATATTTTTTTTTTTAGAAAGTTTTAAAAAATCTCAGTTGAAAGAAATATTTATTTGAAATGTATAAAACATCTTCATCACTTAATATAGTTTTTAAACTTATTAATATCGTTTTTCTTAAAAGAAAATGTTAAGTAGGTCCATCAAAACCTTGTTGTTGTTGTTGTAGCCATTGAACCACAGAAGCCTATCCGAACATTGAAAAGTGAAAGTTTTTTTTGTCAACTTATCAAGGCTGTAGATACAATCCACGGTAGTTGGGGTTTCACGGCCTCAGCTACTTCCACTCGGGCATAACAGTATCATTGCACATGTCATGCTAACTCTGTGACCCACATACTCCTCAAGGAGGCAGATGGTTTCAGGGAGGGGTGGTTTCCTGGTAACATTCGTGTTATTGGGTTGTCATGATAGAAGGTTCGCGTACCAGAGAACTTTTTATTGTATCGTCTCATGGACCCGCATACTTAATCGAACCTACTCAATTATTACAACACCCTGGCTGAATTGAGTGTTAGGCGGTGTGTCATTCAACGTAAGACCTGCGACAACCCATCGGTCGGAATACTGGGAGCAAACAAGTTCATTGCTAGATTGCAATTTAAGTTGCAATCTTGGAACGATGGTTTGAACCCCCGCCCTGAGCAACGTAACTAGTGTCGCTACTCTAAGCCACGAAACCTCCTTGTTGATCTTATCTTTCTTCTTCTAGGCTGAATTACCGGAGCTATCTGTAGTATCCTGCTGTGAACTAGCTGCTGTAGAGGTTTGTTAAAATAAAGGATTTGAAGCTGCCGCACGTTCAAGGGTTTTAAATATGTTGGGTTGAAAAATACAGTATTATTTACGTTTTCCGGAAAGGTTAATTGATACATATGGTTATCGATTGATTGTTTGGTTGATTAATTGATTGGTTGATTGATTATTGATTAGATACGAGGCGAAGGAGGAATAGTACTGAATAATTGGACAAGTATCTCCCCGGACACAGATATTAAGGTACTTTTCAATTCTGTAAATGTCGGGTATTGTATAAGATATAAATGGATTTATGTTGTTTTTTTACTCCTAGATTCATTTTAATTTTAGTTTTTCGCCGCTGGAGTAAAATCTTCCTCAACGCTGGTTGCTGTCACCGAGTGTGGAAATGTTATCAAACAATCAATCAATCAATGGAGCTCCGGTTGATTGATCTGAACATGATAACATTTTTATCGATCTAGTCAATTACAAGTAATCTAATATTCGAAAATGCATTGAAGGGAACTGTATTTGAATAAACCTTGACATATTGGAGTGCAGTGACGATTCACATTCAAACTCTTTTTATTTGACTTTCGTTTTTTCTCTAAAATTAACTAACAGTAACCGTTTTCAAATTTACTTTTTTAAAGAAAATTAATTCATGAATACTTGATTAATTTATTAGAGAAAAAATGGTTTTCGGTTTGTTGTGAATCTGATATGGTATTTTTATCAAGGGACTGAGTAATGAGTATGTACGTTTATTGTGTACATTGAATATTAATCTAATGATTTTATGTGAACAAGCTAAAATTGGGCGAACAAAAAAATATAATTTAAGTTTTTCTCAAACATATTCAATGCATATAATCCTATCAAATGATCTAAAAAAAAATTTGCCAATTGATAAATCAATGAAAACTTAGATTCTGACGTTAATAATGTAATACTGAGTAATGATACAGGGTTACACACATAGAATAAAAAATCATAGACCGTGAATTTATTCAGCTTTTTGTCTTTATTCTTGGTTTCATGCTATTTCAATTAAATTAATAAACCTTCTTTACCATATATACTTTATCTGATATTCATAACAGACAAAATACATCCTTCAGATCGATGAATTTCAAGATTTGTGGGTAGCCCTGTATACCTTCTTTGATCTCCAAGATGTTGGTAAATCAATTTATTCTATTGTGCCAACTTTAGTTTAGGCTGTGCTTCTCCATACTAATCACCTTTTACAAAATAATGTATATATCGTCAAACATTTATTATTACGAAGAAACTTTTTTATTTTGTTTTTTTTGCTAATAATTCCAGAATAAAAATTGCGCATTTTCTTGAAAAGAAATGAGCAATTTTTTTCAAGTTCTACTTGTGCTCAACTCGTAAATACCAAGATATATGTATATTTATTTAACTACTTCACTTTTTAAATTTTCCTTGATTATATATTTCTTGGTAATATCTTTGCAATCTTAAATATAAGTGATACAATTTAGAATTTTAGTCACAATCTTGATCATGAAATGTTACACTCAAAGTGACTTTAATAGAAATTAACCATTCATTTATGCGATCAATTTTAGATATTTCTAAATGATGTAAATTTTACACTAAGTAAATTTTTAGGCAACTGTTTCCTTGCTTTATTTGCTTTGGAACAGTTTAAAAATTTTGTTTCATTGCGAGAAAATCAAAATGTTTTTCTTCGTCTTCCAGAACTCTAATTATGATAACATGCTATAAAACTATTTAAAAACAACAATATTAAAATTGAAAATTCTTTTTCACTTAATACTAAATATTTCTATTCCAGAAAACATGAATGAGAATTATTTAAGAAATGATTCGTCCAAAACCTCATCCTCCAGCATTCTGTCAGATTTTGATACCTCCTCTCTTCTCTCCATCCTCAATACTGTGAACAGCAGGTCTACTGTTCCTCACCCTCCTCCTCCACCATCGGGTGGAGCCTTTATGTCCAGAACCTACTCTAGTCTTGATTCTCTCAGATCCAACCCGGAGCAGCAGTCGGATACAGGATACAGATACAATCCTGGGCTACGCTCAAGCTTAAATCCTTATGATCTTGATCAAACCAGATCATACTCAGAGCTTACCTCTTCTGATCCGTTCCTGGAGAGGGTCGAAGGGAGACGGATTCTAGGAGCAAATCCTGAACCTAATACCTTTCCTAGCAGTGGATCCAAAGAAAAATATGATCCGCTGGATTCTTTAGAGGATCCTATTGAAAAACAGACAATTCAGGCCCAACCCATATTGGATTCTAAATTATTTTCAAGAACTGACAATGAAATTGATCCCAGAAGTGATTTAAGAATTGTTGACAAGATTGATCCAAGAAGTGATTCACGATCAGATCCAAGAAGTGATCCAAGAATGGACCCAAGACTTGACCCAAAACTTGACTCAAGGGTTGATCCAAGACTTGACCCAAGACTTGATCCAAGACTTGACCCAAGGCTTGACACAAGACTTGACCCAAGGCTTGACCCAAGGCTTGATCCAAGACTTGAACCAAGACTTGATCCGAGACTTGACCCAAGGCTTGATCCAAGACTTGAACCAAGACTTGATCCAAGACTTGATCCAAGACTTGACCCAAGACTTGACCCAAGACTTGATCCAAGACTTGATCCATTACTTTATCCAATACTTGATACAACGCTTAATCCAGGACTTAATCCTAAAACAGATCCTAGGATTGATCCAAGAATGAATCAACAAATTACTGTCATTGCTGGAGAGTTAAAAAGAGGAACAACACCCTTGCTGGACGAAAGGACAGTGAGAGATAATTCTTCAGATAGATATTCTAGAAGTTTTTCTGATAGAAGAGATATTTCTCCAAACAGGAACCCAGCCAGAACCTATTCTTCTCTTGGTAGAGACGGGTTGAAAAGAGAAAACTCTCCGAGAAGAGAGAGAGATTGGAAGAGTCCTCCTAAAGTAGTTACCATCTTAGATTTATCTCCTAAACGGGTCTACACTAGAGATTTATCACCTAGGAGAGTCTATAATAGAGATATATCATCTAGCAGAGAAGGAAGGGAAACTTCATATCGGAAAGACAGGGACCGTTCCCCTAGACGTGATTTTAGGGTTATATCTCCCCGCAGAGATCAAACTCGAAGAGATATTTCTCCACGTAGAGATCAAGATCAGAGACGTATTTTACCACATAAAGATGAGGACAGAAGAAATGGTTCTCCACGCAGAGATCAAGACATGAGAAATATATCTCCACGTAGAGAGCATGACAGAAGAAATCTTTCTCCAAGAAGAGATAATGATCAAGACAGAAGATACATTTCTCCACATAGAGATCAAGATCGTAGAAATCTTTCTCCACGTAGAGATCAAGATCGGAAAAATCTTTCTCCACGTAGAGATAAAAATCAGAGAAACATTTCTCCTCGTAGAGATCAAGATAGGAAAAATACTTCTCCACAGAGAGATCAAGACAGGACATATGTTTCTCTGCGTAAAGATCAGGATAAGCGAAACATTTCTCCACGTAGAGATCATGATAGGCGAAACATTTCTCCACGTAGAGATCATGATAGGCGAAACATTTCTCCACGTAGAGATCATGGATCATGATAGGCGAAACATTTCTCCACGTAGAGATCATGATAGGCGAAACATTTCTCCACGTAGAGATCATGATAGGCGAAACATTTCTCCACGCAGAAACCAAGACAAGAAACCTGTTTCTCCACGTAGAGATCATGGCCGCAGAGATATTTCTCCACGTAGAGATCAGGACAGAAGAATTGTTTCTCCACATAGAGATCAGAATAGGCGAAACATTTCTCCACGCAGAAACCAAGACAGGAAACCTGTTTCTCCGCGCAGAGATAGTTCTCCACGTAGAGATCCGGACAGAAGAATTATTTCTCCACGAAAAGGTCCATACACAAGGAACATATCTCCAGGAAGAGGTAGAAAGCTAAGTGATGAAAGGGATATGGCAATAGAGAATATAAGGGTTAAGACGGAAAGGAATATTCTGGAAGTATCTCCTGTTAAAAGGATACAAGCTTCTCCTCTTAGGTAACAAAAAAAAGTTTATTCTCCCATTTTTTGTTTTTACCAAATTTTGCTTGCTAGTAAACCTTTATTTGATCAATAATGAATATGATACTGTCGTTTTAGCTTCGCAAATCAATATTAAAGAGAACCCAACATTGAAAATAATCAAACTTTAAAAAGAAAAACATTGAGATATCAATCACTTTTTTATGAGACTAAGGGAACCCGGTGTGAATCGGACATACCACAATATATGAAGGGTTACTTAAAATTAAGTTAACAATTATTTCGAAAATAAGAAAAAATGTATTCTTGTTTTTATTCCTTTTTGATCATTTTTAGCCTACTTGACTATCCTGATAATCAAGAAAAGATTCCTGGAAACCAATTCGTGCCGGAGAAACCCAGGTAACGAAATAAGAAGTAAATGAAGATTGAACAAATATCAATAGATTTGGTGTACTTAAACTATTTTTAGTTGGATTGCGACAGAAAAATCAACTGCTGTAGAAGAGCTTAGTAAAGAGGTAGCAGATGTGCTTTTGTTTTTCATTTTACCCACGCAACATAATTGATACCAACTAAATTACTTATTATTAGTAACCTAAACGAACATGAAATTTTCTCTTAAAAAAAATACTTGTGGAAAGGACTGTAGAATGGCATGTCATATTTACAGTGGTACCCCTCGAAACCTCTATTCAGAATGAGAACGTTATCTTATTTAATCTTGGAACGTGTTGGAAAATGTCTCCCAGCGAAAATCCGCAATGCACGTCAGTTTTACAGGAAACCGGAATTGAAAATAAAGAATTTTAGCTCCCAATTTATCCTAGTTTAGACCTAGGTTTAAAGGATACCGTTGTGAACCCGACTTGCCACTTTATGAATATCAGGTCACTTTGAAAAAACGTTAACAGTCCCTTTATTAAGGATCTGATTTCTAGGTTGTAAACCATGAGTGTAAACTGGTTGTGTACGATAAGAGCTTAAACGCCGGAATTATTCAGTTCAGTATCAACAACTCTACAGCATTCGGATACTTTCACGAAAGCGTAAGTTTTTTTTCAATTTTTTAATAATTTTTCCAACTTAGAAAAACGAAAATCTCTATTCAGACTCTTCTGCTAAGCTGTGTGTCGACATAAGCTTGTTTTTATGATAGTTTTTTTCCTCTGTGTAGTAAAATGTTCTAAACTTGGAACTTGATCCGTCCACTGTCTCAAAAATACAATTTTAGAAATCTTAAACAGTGCATAGCTTCTAGTTACCTTTTTAAAACCTGAACAGGAACAAGTACACAAGCTGTCAAGCACACATGAACACAGAACACATGAACGCATGAACACTAGAATTCAAATACACAAGTACACAAGAATGAGAACAAAAGAACAAAAGATCAAAGAATAAAAGAATACTATATGAAGGGGGGGGGGGGGATGATAACGAAAGTTAAGTTTTTAATGTGTCCTTATATATATAATTATAATTCAACTGAACTTTACTTCTTAAAACATTGATCTTAATCTCCATCAAGTATTCGGTTTCAGGTTTTTATTTCGGAGACTATCGAACCCCTGGATAAACAGTTCCGACTTGGAGATTCATTAAAGGTAGAATAAAACGCAAATTTACATTTTTAAAACTTTTGGCATCCGTTGATTGTTCTAAAAATATCAAATTTGTTGCGTCACTTTTTAGTTGAATTTAAAACGTTTCTTACAATACGACAATACGACAGTATTTAAGTCGACCATAGAAAATGGAAAACATTAAGTTGCAATGATTATTCATTGCACAGTTCCTTAATATAATGTTTACATCACTGGGATACATACTTTGATTGATACAAAAAGAGATTTTTAAAACATCTTTGTCATTAAAAAAAAAAAAATTTAATTTCTTTTTATGAAACTATCGTGGTCTTGATCATTCTTCCTCAATTCATCGTAAATTTTCTAATGAACCTGGAGAATAGGATCAGTACACTCCAGGATCCCAGATAGAAGACACGCTTGAGCTTATATTTTGTCCCTTGCTAAAGCTCGGGACAAAATAAAATCTAAAAAGGCTTGAACCTTCTCGATAAAGAGAACATTTCTGTCCAAAAACTTTATAACACTTGAACCAAAATGACAGTGTTATAAATAGTTATGATGGAATTAAACAATATTTTTGGTGTCCAACTGTATTTCACCTATTTTACCTGAAAGTAAGGAGGTCTCATACTTGTTAGTAAAGGATATATGAGGTTTGATAGACTTAGCCATTAAATCACCCAGAAGAAATGCTGCGCCTAAATATTTTTCGAAATTTGTAATCTATAATCATTATGTAAATATAACTGTGTTAAATGCACACCCATTTCAACTTATTTTTATCATTATCATTGTCACTAACACTATCATTAATATTATTATTGTTATTAATATCATCATAATCATTATCACTCAGTTAACATCCCGTTACCGTTACCGTTACTGTTACTGTTATTGTTACTGTTACCGTTATCATCACCATTACCATTATTACTGTTACCATTATTGTTATCAGTATTGGTATCGTTAACAATGTTACCATTACCGTTGCCGTTACTGTTACCGTTACCGTTACCGTTATAGTTATCTATCATTATCATTATTATTTTTAGTATTATCACTATCTCTGTCATTATCATTATCACTTAGTTAATACTAGTTGAGAATTAATAACTCAACAATCATTATCATTATCATTATCATTATCATTATCATTATCATTAGCATTAGCATTAGCAATATCATTATCATTATCATTATCATTATCATTATCATTATCATTATCATTATCATTATCATTATCATTATCATTATCATTATCATTATCATTATCATTATCATTATCATTATCATTATCATTATCATTATCATTATCATTATCATTATCATTATCATTAGCATTAGCATTAGCATTAGCATTAGCATTAGCAATAGCATTAGCATTAGCATTAGCATTAGCATTAGCATTAGCATTAGCATTAGCATTAGCATTAGCATTAGCAATAGCATCAGCATTATTATTTTTAGTACTATCACTATCTCTGTCATTATCATCATTGTTATTATTATTGTTATTATTATCACATATATTTCTGTAGTTCCACGGCTACCTGGTGAACAGCATGAATAAGATCTCGTATGTGGTCAGTATCCTTTGGCCTCCTCACACAAACATTCAAATAGGGTTTGTCAGGTAATTTCTTTTTTTTAGGCATTGGAGTCTTGACGTTATTTAAAGTGAGCCACCATTTTAAAAAAATGGCATTATTCACAATGGTTTCCATTAAGCTGATAGTGTTGTTTACTCTTCAATAGCCCTAGACATTTATATTTTCATTCGAATTTTTGTTAACACCGTCTTGGACATAATTAAAGTCTCTGTGGTTGAATTCACATTGTAAATAGTGCACACTGCAGCTACCCGGTATAGATTGCATACAATTTTAAACACAAATCAATGATCAAAAAAAATTAAAATTATGTTTAACAGTCCCTAAAATGTTGCAAGCTAGGCAAAAAAAGTTATTCTAAAATCTAGAACCATTTGTTTATTCTAATAAATATTTAAGCTCCAACTTTCAGCTGGGTTTTTTTTCAAGACGTTATTATTGTTTTAAATTATCAGTCTTCTTTATTGAAATTGCTCAAAAGAAATTGTAAGTTCAATGTTTTATGATGGTAAAAACGAATTATACTTTTAACGAATAATATATCACTAATTTTTCTATAATGTTTAGGCCTCAGAATGAAGATCTGGAAAAGTATATTCAACAGGCTAGCTTATTAGAGCCTAAAATACCGTGGTATACTAAAGACAAGGATGTCAGAAGCTCTAGTATTTGTAGGCAGGAAATTAGAACATCTGACGAAAAAAGAATAGTAAATCACTTAGAGCATGGGGAAATTAAGATAAAGCTAGAAAACAATCTTGAGAAAACTGAGAAATATTTGGAAAAGGATGAACTTATCTCTGCTTCTAGTTGTAGACAAGATACAAATTCCTTTGTGTTAAACTCTTATGGAAGGCTAGTTTCACCCATTAGAACCTCATCAAGAAAGTCAAGGCCATCAGGACAGAATGCTGGTAGATCAAAATCTCCAGTTTCTCGTTCTAATGAAAGACCAAGATCTCCAACAGTGAAATTGAAGAGAAGATCAAGATCTCCAGTTTCCAGGTCTGTAAGATCAAAGTCACCAATTTCCAGGTCTGCAAGAGCAAAATCACCTGATTCCAGGTCTAAAAGATCAAAATCCCCAGTTTCCAGGTCCAGAAAATCTAAATCCCCAGTTTCTAGGTCTAAAAGATCAAAATCGCCAGTTATCAGGTCTAAAAAAACAAGGTCCCTGAATTCAATGTCTAAACGATCTAAATCTCCAATGGTTTCTAAATCACCAATTAAAAATGAAGGAGGGTCAAACAAAAATTCCAGAGATTCCAAAATGTCTGCTGCCAAACAGTTTGATGATGTTGTCAATAGATTAATTCTTGAAGCAGAGGAAAGACTGGCTGCTAAAATGGAACAAATAGAAGAGCTAAAGAAAAATGTAAACACTGGCAAAGATATTGATCTTAGATGCAACAAGCAGATAGATAAAGAATCTTCTTCAGCATTCTTAAATGATAATCCAGCAAGATCCAGTAACATAACCTTTCTGGGAAATCCTTTTGATTTCTCAACAAATGACAGAAAAGAAAATCCACAAATGATCGGAGAATTCGGTACCAACTTTGAAGATATATTTACTGGACCAACAGTGTTGCGTAAAGGTTTAAATCAAGATCATGAAAATCTAGATGAAATTGATGAGGATAACCCATTTGATTCAAGATTACAACGGAAGAAAGACAAACTAAAGCCTCTCTCTGCAGATGAGGAACTGGATTTGTTATTTTCAAACAATACACAAGCTTCAAGATCCATGGAGAATCCAAACATTGATTCAGCAGATGAGGACAACCCCTTTGACTCAAGGCAGTCTTTGAGAAAACGCAAAGACTTACATGAAACATCAAGTGAACTGATTACCAAGGAAAAAGACGAACTGGAAAGGAAAATGTCTTTCAACTGCAAGAAGGATGAAGACTCTCAGTCTGAGGAAATAAACCAAAAATTGATGATTGAAAGTAAAAAAGAAAAATTAAAGCAAAAAATCCTGTCTAAAGTTCTTGAGCGTCGCTTGGCTAATCGACTAAAAGAAAAAGACCAAGTGAAGTCTAAAAATAAATCAAATGAAAAACAAGAAGACATTGAATTATCTTTACCCATGGAGGTATTAGAAGATCCAGACTTGGAGATGTCACCCTTCTGGACACCCTCTAAAGTTCATGTTATTGATTTAAATACTAAAAAGTTTAAACCTACATTTACAGAAGTTTCTGTGACAGAGAGCTTGTTATCTGTTAAGGATATACCTGATAGATCTAAAAAAATCCAACGTCACCCTCCTAAACCTGTAAAACCTGTAAAAAGTAAAACTCCGTTACCTGAGGTACCTCCCCCTCCTAAACTTGGTGAGGCTAAACCCTCAAAACCACCTGCGCCTGTTAATGTGGATATTCCAGAACCTCCCTCCCCTCCCAGAATTAGAGCGGGTAAAATGTCAAAGATGGAAATAGAGCAGAAGAAAAAAACATCTTCTTCCTCTGCCTCTGCCTCATTATTGCATGTAGAAAATATTGAACTTCCCCAGACAAGTACACAAGTTCCCCAGACAAGTACACAAGTTCCCCAGACAAGTACACAAGTTCCCCAGACAATTACACAAGTTCCCCAGACAAGTACACTAGTTACTCAGACAAGTACACAAGTTAGCCAACAACTTTCAGTTCCTGAAAATACATTTATGAAGGGTCCTATTCCAGAGACAACATTTACCAGTGTGCACACTAGTGAAAACATATTCATGAGTGCTGAAATTCCTAATAATCCTTATTTTGGTGCCCAAATTCTGAACAATTCATTTATGGGGAGTCAAATGCCAGAACAGGCCTTAATGCATTCATCTTGGATGTCAGGAACCACAGATGCAAGACCTGCCATTCTCGGAAGTGGGCCACAGATGGAAAGTACAATTTGTCATAGACAAATTTCTGGAACTTCTTTTTTGACAGGTTTGCGATTTTTTTCCCCTTCATATGGCAATATTATTAACATTTAACATCTTATTGTTTTTATTTGAATTTAACTTTGCCATATTTTTTTTAAGTTTGTGTGTTTCAGGAGTGACCCAAGAAGCATCAAATGATATCCTCAGCAGTACAAATGATGATTTCATTACTGTTCCAACGGGACACAATAAGGATTTTACCACCATTAGTTCCAAAACCTATAAACAAATCTCTAGTTTTGATCCTGAAAAGATAGATATCCAGAATGTCGTCGTCGGAGATGAAAATATTGTACGAATGGCTCCTCTTTATCCGCTAAAGGAAACGGATAAGTTGATCTGGCATAATAATCCAGTTCTATGGATCTCTACTGAAGCCTCTTTAGGGGATATGGTTTCTATTCTTGAAGACACCATGGCACGTCTCTTCTTTCAATATAAATCTAAAGACACACACATTCTCATATTTACTGGATTGGCTGATATCCCCACTTTAAATATCGGAAACGCTTTCAACATGTTTCTCGAAATTATTGAAACGGCAATTACCTTCAACTTCAGCAATAATGCCAACTTTAGCATCAGCTTTGGAGAAATCCAGTTTCAGGGAACTAAGGCCGGACGCAATCATGACGTTAAGACGTTTCTCTTGAATGAAGTGATCAGAGTGATCAATCATTATTTCCTTCAAGCGCAGTCAATAAAGCTTTGGAAGCTTGGGACTGAGCCTGTTGTTGACCTCAATATTCCTAATCTTATTAATGTTCTTCATGCGGACATGAAACTGCGAGTGGAAAACTATGTGTCAAGGAACGGGTTTAATCCCGCAACTCTCTTCAAAATCAATAAATATATTCGACTGTCATTGATTAAACGGTTTGATGCGATGGGGCAAATTATGAAGAAAGAGTATCCCCTTCCAACTGGGATGGATAAGGATGGAAATGAGATAGTTTTAAAGTCTCCCATTACCCCTTTAATGTACAGTCATCTCTCTCTGTGTGATATACTAGTCTCTAGGGTTAAAAGGAAGCTGGAACTAGAGTCAGGTAACTAATTAGTTTTCATCTCAAACTCCATTTTTCTAATCTATCTTTGCTACCAGATGATGTAAAACTTTGATGTTTCAAATGACTGAATGATATAACTGAATTTTTAGTTTAAAATATCAAAGGTCTATGAGTTTCACGAGTACAACAAGGCCGAATTTTAAGAATTCGAACTGCGTCGCTGAACCGCTAATAACCGGTTCCAATTGAGCGCCAGCTCAAATCTCGTAACCCTAATTATAATTTTAACAGTTATGTTTTAACCGCGTCAAATATTTGAACCGGGTTTCATATTTGAACTGTGTGGTTCAAATTCTTCAAATTCGACCTCAGGTTGAAAAGAGGATTAGAAAATTAGAGTTTGAGGCGGTTGATCATTCTGAATTTAACTATTAATTAAAATTATTTCAGGGTTGACCACCAGTATTCCCCTGATCCCCCGACCTTCCTGGGATATTGCAGAAGTTCTTGTTCTCCCTAGATTCTGAACTTGTATGTCCTCTTTGTAATGTTGTGGTCATGTTACAATACAAATTTATATGTAACACTGCAGTAACATTCGACAAATTTCAGATATTTGACTAGATCTTCACATTTCAGGGATTTTTTATGTAAATCTAATGTCCAATCAATGATTCACGCCAGAATAATTTGTCAATAAGTTAATTTGTCGTTGATCAGCAACTTTTTATAAATCCACAAGTTTTTTCGTGAAATTTATCGTATTGATTTAAATTGAGTGTACACCAATATTCGGGCATTTAGATATATTTGGGCATTTTAATGTTTTTTTTTAATTGCTGACTGCTAAGTAAGTGTAGAAGTTCTGCAATTCCTAATAAAAATATCGTCGTATTTTTTTGTAGTTGAAAATATTGTTCCGTTTCTTTGTGGTTTTATGAACTAGTCTTAACTTTATTGTTAATTCTTGTTTTAAAAAAGGTTAATAAACACACAGTTTTGCCAAACAAATTTAAAATTTTTCGAAATGTGTAATCTATAATCAAATGTCAAATTTGTCAAATTAAACAATTTTTTTAACACTACCACCCCTCTCTCCATGAGGTCCCCAAGGAGGGAGGGGTGGCTGCTACCAGGGTTTTGGAGTGCTCCCAGTATTTTGGAGTTGCACCCAGGGATTTGCAGTAAGATGTGTAAATTTATCCGACCTGTTATGAAAAGTCCTTTAAAATGGGAACTTTAAAACCGAAATTTGAAAAAAAGGGCTATGCTTCCCAATTTTTACTGTCTTTGTTCAGATATTTGCAGAGAAAAAATCGCAAATTTCTGTCCAAGTAGCATGTGGTGATCATATAGTTTTGATAAACCAAACTGACGGCATTTGTTCCAGCTTAAACATAAAATATGATAAGTAAATGTAAAAAAAAGTCTTTTTTTTTAGCTTGATACCGAAAGGTTGCATTTAATCTTTCTAATACATCTCAACATCTTTATGAGTTAACTTATTTCCAAGTTTTTTTTTTACATCCAATTTTTCGCCTAAATATTCTTTAATTGATTGGTGCCATTCAAGAAGGCGTTTTCTTAACAATAAAAAAATAAAAAATATTATATGCTAAAAGAGCCTTTTACATGGCCCGCGCTAAATCAAAATACTCAAAATATTGAGATATTTCGAGGTAAACTAAGAATAAACATAGTTTTCTTCAGATATCTGAATATTTTGATAACATGAAAGATATGATGTTAAAAGAACGGCATTAAACTGTAGGGTTAAAGGCAGCTACAGGGAGTCCCATGAAACACGATAGAAGAAAGAAGAATTGAAAGTCGTCTTTAAACTTAAAAATTATTTCTGACTCAGCTGTCAACCTACTTTCACATGTTTGATTCTTGAAACAATAACCACAGAATTCTTCAAGTCGTGTCTAAACAAAATCTGGTCTGCATTTTTGTGTAGTCAAAATTAACGGAGATCTTGAGAATTTTGTTAAGATTTCAATTTTATTAAATTAAACAAAAGTTGTCGAAATCTGAGTAAAATTCTTGATATCTCTGTTAGGGGGTTGGGAGGGGGCAGTATTCAATTTGACCCCTTCCCAAATTAAGCAAATTAAGATGATTTTCAGGAATTATTACAAGGACGGGATTTTTCTACCAAAATGATACGCTTGAGCTGCATTTAAAGTTAAAAAAATTTTAAAAGAAAAAAATGAATCCCTCTTGAACATTGTTATTAATTATGACAATAAATATTCACAGGAAAGACTATTTACCTCCTGTGTTTCTATCATCAATTTCTTTCAACATTCAGAAGAATAAATTTATTTGATCAGGCAATAACCCCAAGTCAGGACGGGTAAAAACCAACGAGGTTATAGTGTATAGAGTCATGATGTACGCTAATCCTTTACTAATTGTATAGGCCGTCAATTTTACCGAGATGAGCGTACTGCATATTTGTTTATTATGAGTTGATTCTGGCCTAACATCTAGTATATAAATATTAGTACACAGCTGTAAGTGTACAGTACAGCTAACTGAGCACACAGGTAGAGAGCTATCATCCCTCTGGTAAAAACATTCTCTTCCAAAGGGGGAGGGGTGGTCCCCCCCCCTTTGGAAGATTGTAAAGAATCAGATGAGAGACTATTTTTAAAAGCCTTAATTTCCCGTTCACAAAGGAAGAAGACATTGCGGGGAAATTGGGGGAAACTCAATAGTTAAAGGCTAAAAATAAAAATGAATGAACCTTTTTACGTTTAATTTTTCGAAAAATGATGTTTTATGACAAAGTTTATCGAATAGTTTTCTCCCAGCTCGTTTTTACAGTTTCAACTTGTCTCCTCCAATACAATGAAATGACTTCCTATTTGAGTTTTTTGTTCCACCAAGCTTTCTAACATTTAAATATTTAAACTAAGATAAGTTATTAATTAACAGAGATTTTCTTTGTTTACTTGTAAATTTGAAAAATGCTTGTCAGGCAGCAAAGCATTATTAAAAAAAATTGTCTTCATTGTATTGATATAATCGCCGATCCCTGTATAAAAACTACGCCTCTCACCTAACCTTACATATCTAAAGATCTGATATAATCTAAGGTCAGAAAACAGTGAGGTCGGTTTCCTCTAGGTCAGATGATATACCGTGGTTTTGATATAACTTAATGGCCAATTTCTTAGACTCTCTACCATAGGTAGAACCATAGTCACACTATAGTTACGCTTTACCAGAGCAGTGTAGATAGATACGACCGTTGTACCTATGTTTAAATGAATAAGAAATTGGCCATAAGTCGTTGCCGCTAATTTACATGGATCTCTAATTAGATTATAAGATTTGAATAAGCAGATTGATAGATTTGCCGCTTTTGCAATTCTATTGGTCCTAAGTGCTCACCAAGATCGTGATTGAACCCTGATTGGATCAGACCATGGATATATGATCAGACGCTCTTAGGAGTCAATTTTTCTCTCAATTGAATTCTGCTTGAATTGATGATTTGTGAAAGGTTCTCGGCATCAATAATTAAATATATTTCCTGTTATCTTAGAAGAAAACTTTGTATTAATGGCTCCGCAAACTATTCTCTATATTGGGCAAACTTTACACTTCCTAGATAGTGATGAGCATCATTTTAGGACATTAAGGGTTTTTTGACGTTAGAAGTGTTTTACAAAAATTAGAGTTAATAATGAAATTGCAAAATTGTTTCCTTGATAAGTTTGCTTTATTTACATTATGCAAATTTGTTTTCTGTGATCAAAAATATTGGAACTGAACGATTTTCTAATTGTTTTGAAAAATCATTTTGTTTATTATCTTTGATCTGAATAAAGATATTGCAATAAAAACAAACGTGTCTATTCAATTTTGAAATAGAATTCACATCTCAGATTTTGGTGGTGCCTCTTAAAATACTAAATAAAACTTAAAAACGGCCTCAATACGGTGCCCATCAGTACTTAAAGATAATGATTGGCAATGACTTGGTTTCTTTTTTTTTCTAGGATTTTTTTGTTCTTTCAAAAGGTATCGCTAAACTATTCTGAGTTTATTAAGGTTCCAACCTTTGAAAACTGTAATATGCAAATGTTTGCTTTTATAAAACTCTGAAAATGTGACATCTTTTCTTGGATTAAATTTTGGCATAAAGAAAGCAGTTAATTAGAATTAATAATTTTGTAATTTGTAAAACTTCTCATTTTTTACCAAACCTGTTAGAAACGAACCAATATGCCTCCAACTACATATAGATGAGAGATAGATTAAAGTATTCTATTCAGGCAGTCATGCAGTCAGAAAGTACAGAGATCCAATAAACATGGGAGTAGTCCCAGCCACTCCGATTTATTTGAAGTAGCGCGCGGTCTGATCTGTTTGTTTAAATATTAAAAAAAATTAAATCCCTGTGTTACCTCAATTTGTTAAGAAAATCTTTAAACCAACATAACGCCGGGCCCCGAAAATGCATGAAATTTCTATTGTCGCGCTGAACACAGAACATTCGTTGGTTCTAGTGAATTTGCAAAAAAAATTCAGGCAAATCGGTCGATGGGATCTTGAGTTATGATCAGACATCCAAACAAACCAAGGTTGTTACTTAGAATATTTAGATAACTAATTGAAATGCCCGATGTTGCCCGTGGAATTTTGAAAACTCTTTGCAATAATAAAAACAAAAATCGCATCTTTAGCCTATGTCTGCCGTAGGGCGTAGGCTACCAATGGAACAAAGATTTGGCCAATTATAGCTCAAACATACGTATATATGAGCGAAAAGTGTTGTTATATATCCAGAGCACACAGGTCTCACGCTTTAGTAATTGTAAATTGGCGGTTCACTCCAAAATATAAAACCGCAAACCCAGCTCGGGTTTTCAAATGTACACCGGTTGTGCGCGAAATAATAACTTAATACAAATTAATCATCGCCTTTTCCTACTACATAATCGTTAATCGCAACTTAAATTAAAGGTATCTATTATTATTGTAAATTGAACTTATTGCACTGCATAGTAAAATTTAATCGAAATGATAAAATCAAATAAAGACTAGCAACTTAATTTCTTTCTTGTTTTTGTTTTTCAGATTTAAACATTTAATTTGTTTTCTTCTTTAGTGCATTTGATTTGTTTTTTTTTATTTAGTTAGGTTATACATAGACCAAAAAGATTTGGTGAACCAAGGAAGAAATTGAGACTTTGTCACAAACTCGTACTTTCTAATCTCAATATCTTTGAAACCCAATGACGTAAACCTTAGATATTATAAATTATTATTCCTGGTTAAATGAATAATTTTAGTTGGAAATATCTATGGTCTACGACATTGAGTGGCAATGATATATATATATATATATAACTCAGTTTCTTTGCAGTTTCATGTTGTGAGTCAGGACTTATAAGATATGGGACATGGGTATAATTAAATCTGTAATTATAGGAGAAACCTTTGGTGTCTTTAATACTTAACCTTATTCTAGCTACATATTGCACAAACTTAATAATCATATGTTTGTGTGTTCCTGATTTGTTTAAGGGGTTTTTATTTGTTAAAGAATTGTGTGTTCCTGATTGGTTA